GTATGTGGAGGCCAGAGGCTAACACTGGGCACTGTTCCTCAGATACCACTTACCTTTTTTTTTTTTTTTAAAGATAAAGTTTCTCACTAGTGGGGACTCACTGAGCAGATTAGGCCAGATGGCTAGAGTTCCAGGGATCTGCCTCTACCTCCCCAGTGCTGAACTGCAAGTGTGTACCACTATGCCCAGCTTTTTACCTGGCTTCTGGGGAATGGACTCAGGTCCTCATGCTTGAATAACAAACTCTCTACCAACTGGGCTGTCTTCCTAGCTCTGTACTTTTCAATTTGACATTGAAAATAATTTAAGGAAAGAATTATACTAGGAACAATGTAGTATCTAAAGCACGATGCAATGAAAAAGGCACAAATGTGTTTATGTGAGTTAACAAGATGCACTGTTTTGCTTTTTTTGCAAAATAATTTTATGAAAATTAACTTTATAGAGCTGGAGAGATGACTCAGGGGTTAAGAGCACTGGCTGCTCTTGCAGAGGACCTGGGTTCCATTCCCAGCACCCTCATGGCAGCTAAGTCACCTTTAACTTCATTTCCAGAGGAATCTGATGCCCTCTTCTGACCTCCGTGGGTATTGCATGACATGGGTGCACTCACACATGCAGGCAATACACTCATTCACATAAAATAAAAATATTTAAAATATTTTTGTTTGTTTGTTTTTGGTCCTTTTGAGATAGGGCCTTCTATATCTCCAGCTGTCCTGGAGCTCACTATGTAGACCAGGTTGGCCTCAAACTCACAGAGATCTGCCTGCCTCTGCCTTCTGAGTGCTGGGATTAAAGGCATGTGCCACCACATCTGGCAAAATATTTAAAATATTTTTACAAAAAGAAAATCAACCTTATATAGTGTATCTATTTTTGATCACTGTGCATTTCAAAACCTATTTCCTTGGGGGAAATGGTGGCATTAAATCAAATTACCCAGACATTAAACTAAAACAGAATGCTTGGTTCTAAATAATATTAATATAAACTGATAATTTTACCTGATTTCCAGCTTTGCCACTTCAGGTAGTTTCCCAAAATTTATCTCTTCAACTTCCAGTTCTTTAAGAGCAGCCAGAATTTTCTGCTGGTCTTTACTGGTAATTCCATTCTAAGTAGATATATTTTAAAGGTACAGTAACATGGCTAAAATGAATACTTTCTTTTTTTTTGGTAGATGAATATTCAAAACTACTTACCTTATTTTCTAGATTAATTTGCTTACTGGAAATAGATAAATATTGGAAAATACCAAATATACTTGACATACATGGTTTTATTATAGTACTATCAACTTAGTGATGTTACTAAATTATGGTGCACAGTTAAATTCAGTAATTTTTCTGTAATACATAGTGACAACTGTCATGGACTGTAAAGTGATATTATGAGATTTTAATATGTAAGCATTCAAAAATATGCAACAAAAGTTTTTCTTCCAAAATATTATTTAAGGTGTTAACAGCGATAAGTATGAATTAAATTCTCTTTTCATCTGCATTCTACCTTTAATGTTAAACTAAATTTTCTACCCTTGATTTAGTTAAGTAGTATGCTTATTTTGATTTTTCAGTGGTACCAAAGATTTCAAGTTCCCAATATGCAAGACCATTACTATTAAATATCATGTCTATCAAAGTATCTCTAGTACTTTCTACAACTATTTTTGAACTGTCAATAATAATACACAGCAAAATAGTTGGTCCTGATTGTTCTGAGAATTCACTCAAAATCATATTACTTGGAAAATACATATTTAATCCTACACTAAAAACACCTCTTTGATTTCTAAGTAGCCTGCTTTACAAACCTGCTTCCCATCTGCAGATGAAGCAGCAGTGTGACTGAGATCTCTATGGATCCCCCCAGTTCCAAGGCTTTAAATGCTCTGCAAGTGACTTACTACAGTAAGATTTTAGACATGATCATCCATTGTCTCTAGTAAAGAACCTCGTAAAACATCAGTCTACATATCCCTAGGATTTAGATAAAAATAAAAGAGTCTGCAACTTAAACATCAAAAATATTGAAGAATATACTGGAGCTTTAAAAAGTGATGCAAACGATACTAACCTTTGTAAGTTCATCTTTTTTCATGGTCAAAAGGTGTCTTAAAGTTATATCCCTTTCCTGCACAAAAGGCAAAATCCCCCATCACTTTTCAGTATAAAGAGTACAAAGGAAAGCAGGTAAAGTTCCTCGGGGTAATCACTTATCTGCTTCACTCTTAGACAACTTCCAGTGTTCTGGAGAGTATGCAGATATGGAACTACACCATTGGCTACATAATATATGTTCACTTTAAAAACTATCTAGTTTTCTAGACTCAAGAAAATGACTATAGCTTACATCTGTTTATAAAAAGAAAAGCAATTCTAAAAAAATTGACAGAAAATGTATTTTAAGTTCTGACTGTATCAAATTATCCTATCAATAACATGAGCTTTTACTCAAGACTGTCTGATAGGAAGTTTCAGCATTAAACAATGAATTCAAATCTGAAATTCCTGAACCAACGTTCATATTCCTAAGAGAATCTGTCATAAAGAGTGCTTTACTTCATCAGTGTCCCTATCTATCTGATAACAACTCAAATCCCACAATATATGCTTAAAGCATCTAGACAGTCCCTGGTGTATGAGCTGACTTAACCTTCATGACAAAGTGTATCTGTCCTTATGGGAATAAAAGATATTTAAGGCTCATATTCCAGTTAATAATCAGAGTATGTAACCAGGTCTGTCTGTTTCAAAGTTGTGCTTCTACTATTCCACACAAGAACAGCAACCCAAAACCACAGGGCTTACATGTATACAAATGCACCGGATTAAAGTTGTAAAATCAAGTCAGATTACAATATATAAATTACCAGATTAATAAATTCTGGAAGTGCTGATTATAAATTTAAAATAGAGTAGGTGGCAAATTATGGAGAAAGGAATGGTACTAATTCACAGGCATGCTTATGGACTAATAATGGATTCTTTTCTCAACAACATGTTATGCTAAATAAGCATACACATGCATGTGACTCACTGTGATTTGTATGAAGTCTTACCTTTAATAACTCTGTCATATGTTCAAGTCCAAGACCATGTAAAAATATTTCCAGATCTCCAAATGCTGTGTATGGACTATAACATATTAGAGCAGTGTCAGTTTTAGCATAGACTATATTCACACAAATAATACACAAGCATTTGTATTTCACATAGAGCATGTGTAAGAAGGAATCCATGTAGAATTCCATATTTGTAAGTTTACACAGCACACCTAAAATGCTGTAAATCAGAAGAGTAGGCAAGGTTATCTCTCTCTTCTCTCCCTGCTCTCAGTCCTCCATTTCCCCTTCTCCCTCTCTCCTTAAGCTGAAGATTAAATCTAAGGTTTCATGAAGCATTTGTATTTCACATAGAGCATGTGTAAGAAGGAATCCATGTAGAATTCCATATTTGTAAGTTTACACAGCACACCTAAAATGCTGTAAATCAGAAGAGTAGGCAAGGTTATCTCTCTCTTCTCTCCCTGCTCTCAGTCCTCCATTTCCCCTTCTCCCTCTCTCCTTAAGCTGAAGATTAAATCTAAGGTTTCATGTCCACTAAGTACTAAAGTACACTCCCAACCCAAAGCAAAGTTTCCTGAGCAAAGACTAAAGAGAAAATGGTGATGGGAAAATCTAGTTTATCTTTCTTAAGATTGAAAAAAATTCATTAATATGTATTCCATGTGAAATCTTGCAAATAAAAATGTCTTTAGATGAAAAAAATAAATTATAAATAACAATTTTAAATGCAGTGACTAGAGATTGGTTTGCTGAACAACAGTGTTCAGGAATCTGTTCTTTTAAATTTTAGCATATAAATCATAGATGGGCTAAAAGTAATTAGAAAATAAGACACAGTACAGTTTTAATACTAACAAAGATTTTGAATCCCTTAAAATAAAATTTGTGGGACTGGAGAGATAGCTTAGCGGTCAAGAGCACTGGCTCCTCTTGTGGAAGACCCAGGTTCGATGCCTAGCTCCTATGGTGCCTAACAACTGTCCATAACTCCAGTTCCAGGGAATGCAATGCCTTCTTCTGCCCTCTGTGGGCATTGCATGACATGGGTGCACTTACACACATAGGCAATACATTCTTCATACACATAAAATAAATAAATAAAAATAAAATTTGTATTTTATTAAAATGTATATTTAAAGTTACTTAGAGGATAAAGAATTAATGAAATAACTAAATAAATTTCTTCTAAAAGTCTGGAGAACAAAGCATCTGAAATCCAGACATTTCTAAGTGACATTAAAAAATGCTTGTAAAAATTTAAAATACTATATAGCTTACATAACTTGCCAAATTTACTACAAGTAATAAAATATGCATTTATAGGCATTTTGTTGAGTTAAAATATGTTACCTAAACATGTGATGTTTTTCTTTATCAGAATCTGTTGCCAATAGCTTACAAATAGTCTCTTCTTTGGTTAACTGCTGAAGTTTTCCTTCCAATGGATTTAGCGTCAAAGAAAGAAAGTTGAAGATCTGAAAAAAGTTCCAAGTCATTCAAATATAGTCAACATGATTATACACTATCCATTCATCAAAAAGAAATTAAATATACATCTTATACTCTAGAAGGGAAATTTTAGCAAAGTGAGAGAGACAGATTTTACTACTTACTATCCTGAGCAAAACTTTTATAAAATCAAGTAAGTGCTTCCTTAATCTAAAGTAATAATAACAACAATAATAATAAAAGTACATAAATTCAGAATTACAAAAATTAAAGATAGTGGTTAATATTTTCAATTGGATATGAAACATTTTAAACAAATTATCCAGAAAGATTAAATACTAATGTGGTACTTTAAGTCCATGGCTAAGCAGGGAAAAGTAGTCAGTATGACTATATATACACAAATTCTAACAGTGTACCGCAAAGCAATGTGGCCAAACCCTTAGTTTTATAATCTAACTGCTTAGGAAGTCAAGGCTGTCAAGTGAATCAGACATAGTAAAAACATCAAATCTCATTTTGATAAATTATTTATGACTCAAATGACTTTGATGTTCAAAATATTTTATTATGCTGTTACATGCCACTCTGTACAACTTCATACTGCAAGTTAATTTTAAATTTTCAAAATTTTAAAGCTTAGATGAAAATTTGTAAGCTTTTTTGAAGTTTTATACAATTTTAGTCATTAGCATCTACTCTAAATTTGAAAATGTATATTTTTATTTGGAAAATAATAGACATGTCTCCCAGATTGCTCAAAAAAACCAGAGGAAGTTACTTTACATTTAGTGAAAGTAACACAGTCTGATGAACCTTTGCACTTTACATGCCTTAAAAATTCAGAAACCCAGTGATATTAATTCTTGAACCTAATAACTTACACTTATAATTGTATTGTATTTGATCACTGCTTAGAAATTACAGATCTTTGGCTAAAGTTTTGATATTCAAGTCACAGATTTGTATCAATAATAATTTAGTATGTGGAAAATATTTATTATTGAATTTAAAATAGGAATGAGAGCCAACTATATACTAAAGTATGCCATAATTTTTCTGCAAACCTGGTCATACCTACAGAAATAAAGGTCACTAAAAGGACTTAAAATTTTAAGTGTCTATTATCTGTTAACTAAAATCACAAAGCAGTTCTCCATGTTGAATCTTAATATTTTGCTAGCTTTCTCAGTACATGTTAACTTTAAAAAATGTGCATCAATTTGAAACGTTTAAATCACCAATTGTACTGCTACCTCTAGGGACAGAATAAGATTTTACAATATTCTAATTAAATTTGAATTATTCTAGTATCAGTGCTCTGATTAAAATATGAATATTTTAGCAAAATGAAAATTTTATTACCTGCTTGGAGAAAAACATCTACTTAAACATTTAATAATCGCTCAAAATACTATTACATTTATAAACTGTAACAAAATGGAAAAATTCTACACAACAATATGACCATGACACAGAAAGTTAATGTGTAGATGAATACCTCAAGATGTTTATTTCTTTTTGCAATCTCACTTGGTGTCCTTCCATCTTTAGTCTGTAGCATTTTATTAGCTCCAAGTTCAAGCAACTTCAGAATTACATTTTTATGACCCTGACGTGCTGCCCACGTTAAGGCCTATAAGTGAGGGGAGGGGGAGAAGACTGTTTAGGAGTGTATGTGAGATAGATAAGAAATGTTTCACCAATATTTATGGCACAGTAAAAAGGAGAACACAGTTAATTGATAGAATGATGCAATCTCTTCATTGCACAATATAATGTAAACATATTTCCACAGTTGTAATTACAAAGACAACTGCAGTGTTCTCATTTTACAGAACCAGCGTTTTCCACAGTTAAATAATGCTGTGGAAAATGCTTTATCTGCCACTTACAGATGTTTTCTATGCATGAATCCTTGTGCGTTTTCTAGAGCCCAGGTCTTGCTGTGCATTACAGCCACTTGTCAAGATCAAGGACTCAAAGAATCAAATAATTCATTTTTGCTCTTTGAGTTGTTGCTGTCAAGAGTTTGCAACAAACAGTGTTTATATTCCAACCCTTCTGTAACTTCTGTTCTTAAAAGCCATTGATAATAAACATCAATCAAACAAAAATAGCTACCATGTAGATGACTGGTAAGAGCAATGCATCAATATCTTAGAAATAGGAATCAACACTGTAAATGTGTTTCTCACAGTATAACCATTCTCATCCTGGGCATTAACTTCTGCTCCATGGGCAACAAGCAGAGCAACAACCTGAGTGTGACCATCCCGGGCAGCATACATGATTGGAGTCATAAGTCTCCTAGGGAAGATGAACGAAGAGACACGTGTTAACGTAGCCATTAGCAGCTACTCAATTTCATGAACTTAAGCACACACAGTACCATTAATGTTCTGAAAGAAAAGTGAAGGAAAGAAAAGCTCTTAACATGTGAAGTGATTTTTTAAAAGCCATCTAGCAAATAAGTGTAAAAATATTGAATGCTTACAAGATATCCTCTAGCGGAGAAATGTAGGTGAATATTTAAATAAGTCCTGCTTTCTAATATGCTTAACTAATAATTTACATATTCCTCTAGAAGATGATCAGAGGACCCCAGTCTACTTATGACAGGAATACAGTGGAAAATGATACAAACTAGGCTGGTCTCACTGGATGTCCTCATTTTAATTTTAATAAAACCATTACATTTTATTTAGCAGATTACTTAAATAAAAATGTAAGGGGCTGGAGAGATGGTTCAGTGGTTAAGAGCACTGACTGGTCTTGGAGAGGACTTGGGTTTGATTCCCAGCACCCACATGGTGGCTAACAACCATCCATAACTCCAGTTCTAGGGGATCTGATGCCTTTTCCTGATCTCTCTGGGCATTGCATGACATGGCTGCACTTACATACACGCAGGCAATATACTCACATAAAATAAAAAGTTAAATATTAAAAAATAAAAATATAGCTGGGCGTGGTGGTGCACGCCTTTAATCCCAGCACTTGGGAGGCAGAGGCAGGTGGATCTTTGTGAGTTAGAAGCTAGCTTGGTCTACACAGTGAGTTCCAGGACAGCTGGGGCTACAAGGAGATCCTGCCTCAAAAAAGACAACATATATATATATATATAAATTAAAATTTTCTCCTGTTTATTAATCGATTCAAATATCAACCTAGCTTAGTTTAAGGTAAAAAGAATTTTACTCTGAGCTAGGACTTAATCCTAATCAAGAAAGAGATCAATCTGTCTAATATTTCTTGAGAGTATTTTCTGGGAGAGATTAATGGTTTCTCTCTAACTTATCGCATCCCCAAATTAGAGACTCAGTCCCTCGGCTCCAGAAGTTAGTCAGTTTTTGGGCCTATTCTAAAGGAGTCTAGAATCATCCTATCAGTTCTATGTGGGCTGAAGTTAACATATGATCTGTTTTAAGGGAGGTCTGACATTCTGGGCCCAATATTTGAGTCATCCACAGTATCTGATATTCTCTTCAGAGAAGAATATCAAATTAAAGGATTTAAGAATTCTACATTTTGGGACATTGGAGTAGGCAAGAGCTTTCTGAATAGAACATCAACAGTAAAGGAACTAGCCTCCAGTACCAACAGATGAGATTACATGAAATTAGGCAGTTTTTGCATAGCAAAGTAAAACTATCAGCAGAGCACAGACAGCCCACAGAATGGGAGAAAATATTTACCAGCTATATATAAGACAAGGGCTAATATTCAGAATTTGTAAGAACTGCCAAAATTAAATAACAAGGAAATAAAACATTTTGATATCTAAGGAAGTTCATGTTTACCATTCACATTACTTACACAACCAAGAGTGTCTCTCTGAGGTTTTTTTTAGCATAAGGTAGATCCTGAATCTGATTCCTTCACAGCAATGTCTTTATCAAAAACAACTGACACTTTTATTCATATCTTCTATTTCCTAACATATTACATATTATAATTGGTTGTTTTATTTGAAATTATAAATTTGTATAAATTTGATACAGAAGATGCAAAACAATCCCTCTTTTATCTCTAATGTCTCCAACATAGTGGCTTTATTAAGAGGGACAATCTAACATGGTGGAAACTATTTTCTGGAGCACTTTGGCAAATACAAAAATACATACAATAAAAAAGTTATGTCAACTAATTATTCAAATTCTCTCCTACATCTAAATTAGATCTCTTTGTGTGTCTCTTCAACTCCACTGCTCCCCACAAAAGCCTACATTGCTTTTATCTATATTTCCTACTTCATGAAGTCACCAAAAACACTTTACTCAGGGTTGATGCTAGACACTGTTAAGAACTTGCCTATCACAATTCATTGGCAGGTCCCACTGACTCTACTGTCAACATATTTAACAGTGAGTGCTGCTCATCACTCTGTTGTTACTGTAGAAGTCTTAGTTGTATAGTCTTTCCCTGGTCTATATTACTGCAGTGAGTGTTCTTCCTATTTCTACTCTTAGCCACTTACAGCTTTTTTTATTTTTTATTTTATGTTTGTGTTTTCCCGGGCATGCAGTGCCTACAGAGGTCAGAAGGGGGAGCCAGATCCCCTGGAACGGGAGTTAACACTTACATACTATGTGGGTGATAGGAACCCAGGTCCTCTGCAAGATAATTTAGTGCTCTTAACCACTGAGCCATCTCTCCAGTCCAGCCACTTATACCTTATTCTCTGTAAAGATGCCAAGTTGTTCCCCTTTCAGGGAAATAATATGCTAGTTTCTGACTTTTGAGAAAAGGTGAATTTATTGAACAAAACATAATACAGCTAACCTAAAACATACATTATTTGCATCTGTGCATATGTGAATGTGTGCACCACAAGTGAGTGTGAAAGTCTTGGGTGTTGTTCCTCAGGTGCCATTCACCGTTACCTGGGCATCACCAAGTACATGAGACTGGTTGGCCAGTGGATCTGCCAGTCTCTGACTCCCCAGTGCTGGCATTACAAATGTGTGCCATAATGTTTGGGTTTTTCTTTTCATGGATGATAGGGCTCAAACTCATGTCCTCATGCTTATGTAGCAAACACTTCACCAACTGAGTTATCACCAGATATTGGCTTCTATCCAAGTGATACCACCAACGACATAAATAAAACATTTTGAAAGGAGAGAATTCTTATAGTAGCATTATACCTACACACAGTTGCAATACCTGTCATTTCCTATGTTACAGTTTAATGAAATAGTAATCTTATTATCCTCCAGGGAAGCTGTAAAATTTCATATTAACTGACCTATTCAAGTGATATGGTAACTATTTGTGATACTGATATTATTTTAATTTTAATTTCCATTCTATTTTATTCCAAAGATGCAATGTAGGAATTCTTTACTTCTTGGGGCTGGAGAGATGGTTCAGTGGTTAAGAGCACTGGCTGCTTTTGCAGAGGATCTGAGTTCAGTTTCTCACACTCACAGGGAGGCTAACAACTGTCTGTAACTTCAGTTCCAGGGGATTCTACATTCTCTTCTGACCTTCCCAGTTCACTTACATACAAGTAGGTAAAACATTCATACACATAAAATAAAAATAAATGTAAAAATAGTACTTCTTTATCCTTCCTTAAAATTCAGTACAATCTGGTTCTGCTTGCTCCCAACATGTAATTGCTTTAGCCCAAGTTCAGTTACAGGGACTCACTCTCTTTTTCTAGTACTTAAAATCATGTTCGACTCAGCTCATCCCTTCTCTCTGTATTTGACTTTCTCCCCTCAGCTTCCTCTCATCCCTGAAACTATAGCTTCTTGCATTTTGTTGGCAGTTTAACATTTACCATGATTTCACCTATACTGTGTCCAGAATTCTTATGATTCACATTTTCTTTCCTAGACAACTAATATTCATTACACCCCATATATTAAGGTTCTTAACTCTTAACTTCCTCTTGTTTTATTTCTCCCTTTTAATGATATCTCTGTTTCAGTTTATATTTTGTTTGTTTGCTCTTAAGTATTTTCCTTAGATGATATACTGGGTGTACTTTCTGAATGCTTGCATTTCTTTGAATACTTTTCTTTCACACTGATAGGCAAATGATAGCTTGGCTAAGAGTAAGCTTTGTAAGTTGGAGGCCTTCCTCTCAAGACTTGGATGCAATTCTATTCTTTTTTGGTTTCAATTGTTGCACATGAAAAGTCTGATGCTACTCTGATTTTCTTTTCTAATTGACAAATAACTATAAATATTTAAAGTGATGTTTTAATGTTTATATTATGGAATGACTAAACTGAGTTAATTAACCAATGTACTACCTACTTATTTGGTTGTGGTAAAAATATTTAAAATCTACTTGGTTAGCAATTTTGAAGTAATTAGTACATTATTTATTATAACCACCATCCATTCCATGCAATCATATGCTTATTTTTTTGTTGTTGTTACAAACTTACTTTTGGCTGGATGCGGTAGTTCATGCCTTTAGTTTCAGCACGTAGGAGGCAGAGGCAGGCCAATCTCTGTGATTTTGAGGCCAGCCTGGTTTACAAAACAAGTTTCAGGCCAGCCAGGGCTACATAGTGAGACCCTGTCTCAAAAAATCCAAACCCAAAACAAAACAACAACAATTAAAAGACAAAACAAAAACTCTTTAGTTTTGCCTGGGAATGTATACAAATGTCCTCTTTGTCAGAAGGGCAGGGGGTGCATCTCAGTGGTAAGCTGCTTGCCTAACTTACACAGGACTCTGGGTTTGGCCCCTACCACTACAAAGAAAAAGACCAAATTTCTTCTTTGTTCTTAGAATTCACACATTCCAGTTGAGTTGCGCATAGGTGGTTTTTTCTCTCTCAGAAGTCTACACTATAACTCAGAAACCACTTCAATATGCAGTTGCTATAGAATTTTTCATTTGAATTATTTTTTTCCCTAGCATGTGGTTATTGCTAATGTGCCATTTGTTCCTTTTTCTTCCATGTATTTTGAATTTAGACGTCATATGTTCTCAGGTTCCCAGAATTATTTTTCATGCTGTATTTAGATCTCCTTATGTAATCTTAATTTTTAAAGCAGTTTTAAAATCATTCTCCTTTAGCAATTTTGTACTAAGAAAACTTTGTCAATACTTTTCCCTGGATGTTTGGAATTTTAAAAAATTATTTTTTTTGTCTTTTGGATTTAAATCTAGTTGTTAAATAGTTTTATTGCAGAAATAGTGTAGATTTTTCAAAATCAAGTATCTTTTGCAGCGGATTTACATAAAATTTGATGGTAGGCACTGGGTCCCTCTAGTGGTCAGCATGGGAAGGGAACTATTCTGAATTTAATGGATGAGGACAAGACAATGTAGCCTGCAA